TAGGGTTAAATTAGCAAGTAAGAGGGAGCCGGATGTATTGCGTACACATGTTGATATTGTCCTTGCATAGAACCCCATGGAAGTTTGTAGAAATTGCGGGGTGATCTCAGGGGGGTTTACTGTGAATTTTCGACATATTCATCCCACATATTTTGAAATCATGTGAGTGATCCCATGAAATTGCTTTGAGATCGATCTGTAAACTTGTCTACCTGTCCTTCAAAAACCTCTCATGATCACATCCAGGATAATGACTTCAATAACTCACTGCAAAGGGAACTAGTAAGAGGTAGGACAAGCTCTAATGAGCTATCCAGGAAGGGTCTATTACTTTGCTTGGAACTTTGAGTGCTGATCCAGGAATATCAACATATAATAGGCCCGCAAAAAAGTTCTGCGAATAAAAAAGTAGTTTTATAGAATTTTCCAAATTAAACAAAGGAATATATTTACCAGCAAGATCGACAGCCTTCCACAATCCTTTCAGCAAACCAGTGATTACGAACTTTTTTTTACGACAAAGGGACGTTTGAAGGTGGAGCACATAATAATTAAGGAGCAACGTTCCTGGACTACGACTGATGAACAAGCTGGAACCTGCGAGGCCGGTGAATTTTTGAAGGTTGTCTAAAGTGAAATTTCGACATGCGTTAGCGTTTTGTAGGTTTCAGAGTTATGATTTTTATCCTCCCCTAACCAAATTGGAGAAATGCTGGGCTCATAGGGGTAAGCGACAGCTGTGACTATCGGTCTGTGTTAAGCAACACATAGTGGACGGGTCCCTTCATGCCCTACAAAACCGCCCTACAAAACCAAGGGACGATGTTTGCTTTAGTTCGAAGGCTAGTATCTTCTGCATGATACGGCTCAACCAGTTGTTGACTGTTGATCGGTAAACATAGCTTTCAGCAACTAAGTTGCTGATAATTTCAGTCGCTACACACGCGTTTTTCCCTTGGCTTGTTAAGTGGTACGTGATGGTACGAACCTGTTGGTGTTCAATCATTGGGGGTAAAGTCGGGGAAGCCACATGCATGCCGTCGCTTACTCATGTGTTGATTGCCGCAGAATGTCCTAGGAGTTTATCATTCCTTGCTATCGTGTTTACACTACGCTTCAAATTTTTTGTCACTAAACTTTCTCCCAACCTAATCGCTTGATATGCATGTTACGGATATGGAAATAAAAATTGGAAAGTAGCGTTCGCAAGAAATCATTGCTCATCCAAGAAAGAGCACAATGGAATTCGAAGCTCAAGGGAAGCGACAAAAGGGGTCCCAGAGAAG